CATACCAAAGTCTCCATACCAGTACCTTACACCCATGGCTGGGAACCAGCTAATTATACAGGCACCGAATGGCTCATGAGGCTGAGTCTCTGTCTTGTGGGTCCAGCACTTGCCTATTCCCTTTGTGACCTCAGGGATGGGGAAACTTCTGGTTGATGAATGAAAGGAATAATTGCATGTGTTTCTTTGCAGGGGTGAGGAGGTGACATCTCTGCATCCAGCCCCTGAATTCCTGGAGCTGGAGAAGAGAATCTGGGATTTTCCTAGTGCGAACAAGCTCCAGGAGGCTGTGACAGGATTTCTGGGTAAGGGGTTCCCTCGTGTCTCTCTCTTTGAGTGTATCAGGGAAGAGTGAGGGAGAAGCTGTGGAGCTGGAGCGGCAGATGGAGGTGGTCCTGGTGGATTAGGTGTTATTGGAGCCTGCGTGTTTACATTCCACGGGGATCAGAGCTGGGCTCAGCTCCCTTTGCCCAGCTCCAGAGGGGCCCAGATCCAGAGAAAGCCCTTGGAGGAGTCCCAGCTCTCCAGGGCTGCACAGGCGGAGAATGAAGCGGAGCATATGATTTATCATTTTGAGTACACATACCTTTGCTACTTCCCATGTGGGTCCTGGCCACCTCAGCATAGGCCTGAGACTCTCATCTGCACTTGCCATCAATTGTCCTGCTTTTTTCTCCCTCTGGGGTTTGCTGACCAGTGCTCAGATCCTGGCACTTAGAGCTGGCATTCTGGACTCAGTGGTCCCAGCCTGAATGGACGTGCACAGGGAAGGAGCTGGGAGGTCACTTCCTAGAGTTTGTGAATAAATGCTGGTGAATAAATCCCAGCCCTGGACCACTGACAGAAACAGCTGCCAGCAGGGGCCTGGGGAGGGCTGAGATGAAGTCCTTGAGCACCCCCAGTGAGTCCTCACAGGAATGATGTAGCCAGATTGTGGAGCTCCAGGAAAGCTGTTTCATGGGGAAAGGACCACCTTGCAGCAGCACCAGCCAGCTGTCATGGGGAGAGTGCCCTCCAGAGCAGAGGGACAGGTGTGAGAGACACTATCACAGACAGGTTCAGGCCAGATCTTCAGTGTCCTGGCTTCCAGCTTGTCTGACTGACAGCAACTAAGTCCCTGTGCCCCTGGAAGCTCATGCATTAGTCCCCTTCCCCATTGGCTCTTAAGGGAAATGACAGCATTTGGAAGAGCCCTGGGACTCCTACCAGTGCTAATATGAAATCTAGACCCAGATGGGGACTAATTTCCTGCTTTCTCTCTTTCCCTGCAGAGCGGCTCACTCTGGACAGAGGTGAGAGTTGTGATGAAATCCAGGGGAGGGAGCAACCACTGATGGGCCTGTGTTCCTCTGTATGGACCAGCTGCAGGCTGAGTGGTGTGAAGTGGTCTGCAGAGGAGAGAAACCAGCAGGGAAATGTGTGACAAGGGCATGGGTCAGAACAGACAAGGGGGAGTGGGGGCCCTTCCCATCCTTGTCTCTGAGACAGTGCAAACCCAGGCCATGTGGGAGGAGGCCCAGGGGCAGGCCTGGCTACAGCTGTCTCTGGACACTTAGATGTGTGTGTTGCTGAGACGACAACAGCCTGAGACTCAGATAGACCAAGGGGGACACTGCTGAGAAGGGACAGCTGGGAACTGAGACCCCAAACATCAGGGCATGGAGAAGTGATGGCTTCACAGTGATGCTGATTCTCCCTTGGTGCCCCTGGATGTGACACCAGCATTTCCCCACTCAGACAGGATTACAGCCCCCTCCTTTGGGTGAGGCTGATGAGGCAGGATTCATGCTGCTGAAGGGACCCTCCCTCTGGGAATCCCTGAATTGTGGGTGTTTAGTTCTCATCTGATTGCTGCAGAGATCTGGGGCCAAAGGTTGTAGCCCTCACTTCTCCCTCGCCCCCAGCTCCTGGGCAGACCCAAGCATTTGGCAGGGTGGAGAAGGCAGGGTTTGCCCCAGTGTCTCTGCACTGGGTACTACTGCAGTGATTGCTGTGTGAAGTCTCACCTCTCTCTCTGCTGGCTAATTCCAGGATACAGAAGAGACCGAGCACATGCAAGTGAGTGACCTTGACCCCTCTGTGTCAGTGACCCCAGACTGCTCCCCTTGGGGAGTTGCACTTCCTTTATCTGCTTCTGTCACTGTCCCAGTGCCCCAAATTTGGGCCTTGTCCCTCTGACCAGCCAGAGCCACTGTGTCCCTGCTGCCTTCTCCCCTTGCTGCCAGTGCGCTCTGTACCTGTTGGGCCCTAGGCAGGGCTGGACCCTGTGAGATCCCAGGCCCAGGAGTGAGCTGGGATCCTTATCCCTTCTCCTCAGTACAGTCTTGAGCCTCACACAGCCAGATCATTTTCCTTCACACTGACCAAGGACTGGCAGTTTCAGAGCTCCAATTTAAGCAATGAGGTCCTGGGAACCAGGTAATGAGCCTTAACGATGGCAAAGATCTGAGAGCAGGCTGTTCCCTCATGGATTAGCCAGCATGTGTACATCGGCCTGCACCTGGCAGTCACGTAGATGTGAAAGGGACTTGGCAAATGGCTGAGACCACTAACATAATCTGAACGTATCCATACATCACCCATGAGCACCTTACACGGTTTCATAGAAACATAGAAAATGAGGGTTGAAGGGACCTCAGGAGGTCACATCTAGTCCAACCCCCTGCTCAAAGCAGGACCATCCCCAACTAGATTACCTGAGTCAAGGCTTTGTCTAGCTGGGTCTTGAAAATCTCCCAGAATAGAGCTTCTATCACCTCTCTGGGTAATGCTGTACCAGATACAAGGAAATCACCAGCTGCCCTTCATCAACCCCCAGGAAAATGCCTCTGTGCAGCCCCTACCGTCCAGCCCTTCCTGGGCCGGGCCTCCCACCCTGAGGGACAGCCTGACTGCTCCAGGCTGGCTAGACCAAGGGCCCCATCACTCACTGATGCTGGTGCCACGCTCACTCCCAGCGCTCACAGGCACTGACCCAGCCTCAGTCTGCTCCCTGGCACTGACCCGGCCCTGCATGTGGGGATGCTGCTGCTCTAAGCTGCACTCATGGGTATTGTCTGTGCGAGGGTTTATGTGGCACAGTTGGGGCTGCTCTTTCCTCTGGCACTGGGATGATCTGTGTGTGGGACAAATGGCGAGAGTTTGTCAGCAGCGATCTTCTCAGAGACACATGCCCTGTACAGAGACTGGCAAAGGCCAGGCCACAAAGCACTGTGGGCTGGTGCTTTCCTTTCAGAGCAGCTCCTCCAGCTCCGTTGGTCAATGCAGCTGCCCCAGTGCAAACCCCTAGAGCAGGTACATTACATGGGTGTGACCTGGCACTTACCCCTGTGCAGCTGCTCCCAGCGGGAGGGGGCAGTCAGTAGGGACTGGACCCCAGACTCATTATCAACAGGCCCAGCTTCCCCAGTGTCTAGTTCCACTGCCCAGGGCCCCCCTGCCTTCTCCTCTCCACCAGCTGAGCCCAGACATGGCTGTCCCCAGAGCTGGGTGAGGAGGAGAGTTGTGCTATGCCCATAGGGCTGGTGGGTATGGCACCCCCAGAGCAGCCCAGCCTGGGCTTGGGGAGAGTCAGGGCACCAAATTGCTCTTAGCCCTGACTTCAGAGCAGAGATCCCCTGAGTCTTGCCGTATCCTCTCATCTTCCCCTCCCCACAGTCCACTTCTTCCCTCTCTGAGGGCTTGTCTTCATCCTCCCCTCTTACCCCCACCCCTCGCAGCACCTCTTAGCCCCTCCCCCCACCAGGGCCTGATCTGCTGCCACCTCTTACCCCCTGGCACTTGCCCCTCTCCTTACCCTCCATGGGTCCAACACCGACCCCTCATTCCCCCATGCCTCTGCCCCAGGGAAGAAACAGGCTGGGCGGGAATGTCCCGTTCTGCTCCTGGGGTTTTTTCTGGTTTTCCCCATTTCCCGTTTGGGCACCAGTGATTTCAAAGTTGGGAGCTGATTCCTGGGGATGTAGGCAAATTTCGGTCTGATTGCAGGGTCTAGCCCTGCCCCAGCCCTGATCCTGTGACTCTCTCTCCCCAGTGGATGTGACTCTGGACCCAGACACGGCTCATCCCTACCTCATCCTGTCTGAGGATCGGAAAAGTGTGAGAGAAGGAGGCACACGACAGGATGTACCTGACAACCCTGAGAGATTTGATACTTATGTAAATGTCCTTGGCTCTGAGAGGTTCATGGGTGGCAGACACTACTGGGAGGTGGAGGTGGGAGACAAGAGGCGCTGGGGTCTGGGGGTGTGCAGGGAGTCTGTGTGCAGGAAGGGGGACATCATATGCAAACCTGACAATGGATACTGGACCTTGTGGCTGCGGGACAGGGGATACAAGGCCAGCGCCTCTTGCAGAATTCCCCTCTCCGTGCGTGTGAGACCCATGCGGGTGGGGGTTTTCCTGGACTACGAGGCAGGCAAGGTTTCATTTTATAATGTGACTGACAGGTCCCATCTCTTCACCTTCAACGACAACTTCTCTGGGACCCTGTGCCCTTATTTCAGTCCTTGTCTCAATGACGGGGGCACAAATGCAGGTCCCTTGACCATCTGCCCGGTCTCACCCAGCCCTGACCCTGACCCTGACCCTGACGCACACAGCGTTGGCCATCTCCTCCCAGCTCCGGCCCAGCTCTCAGCCCCTTTTTTGCCCCCAGGAGTGGGGCAGGGGCCTGCAGAGGAGCAGGGCAAAGCCGGGGCTTTCCCTTCTTGATGCCATCTCCCCCATATTTCTCTGGCTCCTGGCTGGGGCAGTTTGGCCATCGCTGTGTTTGGGTTTTGTGTGAGCAGCTTTAACAGCCAGCACCACAGATTGCTGGGAACAACCCAAGATAAAAGCCCCTTTACACCCCAACACCTGCACTGTCCTGGGCCAGAGACTGCCTATATGACCCCATTGCAGTCTCTGTGCCGCTGCCTGCTGCTGCAGGGTCTGTGGGACCTCCTGATGGCCTGGGACAGGAAGGGCCTCATTTGCAGCCAGCCGCTGCCCCAGAGAGCTGGGTGCGGGGGAGAAAGACAGAGCTCCACATGTCCCTGTCTCCATGATGATACACTGCCGGACTGTTTTTTGGCCCCACAGGGTCAGCATTACCCACATGTCATTACAAAGGGATTATAGGATATGTTGGTTCTTGTTTCCTTTTTCATGTAAGAGTTGTGTAGGTAGTGGCTGACGCTCTGCAGATTGCTGCATTTGCCAGCTATGGAAGGTACATGGGGCAGATGGGAGATCTTGCTAGCTGGGTGGGCAGGTGGCAGCAGGTCTCTCTAATAGAAGGCTGTCTGTTACCGTTACTTTTGGTAAATGTGTCTGGACCCCAGCTCTGACATTTGATAAAGCTATC